GACCAGCCAAGGGCTGATGTCACCGGCTCCCAGGCAGATGTTGTGCAGGACAGCACATGCCGTTATGACCTGTAGAAAAAAAAAGACAAAAATATGTATTTTTATTCAGTCATTTTTTTCATTATCTTTATTACATGATTTATTAGAAATTAAATTTAACTTCATCTAGATCCACTATTTAACTTTTTTTTCATTTTTATATTTAGATTTTTTTTCTGTATTATTATTTTTTTATATATATAAGTGCAAATAAAATTAGGCAGTAAGGGGATAACAGTTTAGACAAAAAATTATTTATTTCTCAATCTAGCACAGTTCGGCTTCTCAACACAACATTAGTAAAAGTGAAAGTAGTGATTTAGGTCAGTTATTTACAGGGTTTGAACACATTTAACTATTCATTTCAAATTCCTAAAGTTACAAACAAACTTATATCAAGTCTTACAAATAAATATAAAATTTGATATCTAAACATATCTGTCAATCTGCTGACAAGCGTTTGTTTAATAGCTGGTATATTCTGATCATTAGCAGGCCCCTGTGGGTTAGAATAATAGCAGGTAGATCTTACCTCTCCACTGCGCTCTGCCAGCCTGAAAAAAATCCGCCGCCGGTTTTGCTGCCGCCGAAGCCGTCAAAGCCGACTCTCCTCCACCAATAACAAGTAAATAAAAAAAATAAGATAGGCAGGCTGGGTCCTTCGAAGGACCCAGCCTGCGAATTGAGACCCAGCCTACTGACAGGTTTCAGATATTTCAGGCTAACAATGGAACCAAACTGGTCAGTTTCAATTTGCATGTTTCCAAGCAATTCAAGGCCTTATCTATACAAAGCCTCAAACTCACTGTGAATCCAGAAATTTGAACTGAGAAAACTTCCTGGAGGGATCGAACCGTCTTCAGACCTTGGAAACCTTTTTTAACTTTTACGGAATGACTATGACCTGGATGACTGAGAATCTTCATTTCTGTCCTCACTTTGTTGGTTGATGACAGAAAATGTGGAGCA